CTTACGGGCGATCCACGCCTTGACATCGGCCATCAAGTTATCCAAATCGACGTGACTTCTATTTTCTAGCCATTTTTTCGATGAATGGCTGACGAGATAATCCATAAAAGTTTCTGCTGGTGAATGTGGCAGGTTTAGGGGCAGATCCCATTTCATGGTTGGTTCTGGCTCATTGTTCGATTGCCGAAAAGTTACTGAGATCGCGGAATGAGTGCGCCACCTTCCAATCTTTCTCGAAGTAGTTAAGCCTAATTTCGCGAATATGCGGATGGTTTTTGAGTATATTCTTGTGAGGAAATCGAGCAGATCATTTCTAGAAAAAACCCGAACTCAATATTCAAATTCTATCGAGAGAAAAAAAGCCGAGAAAAAATCCGCAATAATTATGCATCAACCTAATACTTAGTTTTTAGGCTCACCTTTAAATCAACCTCGATTGTACAAAGGCTCTACCAGAATTGGCCACCTCCAGATCTTCTTCTCATGAAAAGCGAAGTTGCAATTAATTATTTTAAATGTGTCTGTAGCTACGTAGACTGTCTGTAGATCGGGTCGGCCACCGTACACCATTTCGGCGAATGCGATTTTGATTGATCTGGTGGTGAGAATCACGGCAGCCGGCACGCGACCATCTATCGTAACATTATCGTTGAACGACCTTGCTGGCTGTATGAAACGTCCTTCTGCCTCAATGATGCACAAGCAAGTCCAACACGACTAGACTTGATCTCTAGCAACTTATTTATTTCAAATTTTGGGTTTCCGAGTTGTCCGCAGCTGAAGCGAACTAATGGGACTTGCCCTAGCATAAACTCTTCAAATCTATCGAGATCAGCTGTCGTCCACGCTGAATAGTTCAGAAAACATCCGGTTCAACTCAAGTGAATCCGAATACTTGTTAAAAGAAGTGCCGACGACTACCAAAATTAGGAGAGCTCGATCAGGTAAAGACTGCACACAAATGATCCTGTAAGTCCTCAGAAAAGAGGCATTCTCTAATTCCCTCGGTTCAACCCATCCCAGGGTTAATAACGAGGTNTGTGCTACGCTCCGTTCTTTTAGGGGAGATCTCAAGCGATTTGCCACGATCAGTTCCATGAGTTGAAGGCTGCAACGGGTGTAACATAATCGAATAGAACGAAAATGACTGTGCCGTTAAGTCTAGAAGTATATTGGTAAATAATACTTCACTTTTGAATATCTCTTTTCTTGCCATTCTTAGCCGGCGATTCTCGTTTCATTTTCAAGGTAAAGGGAATAGCAATGCAACGAAGTGCGATCTTCTAATCATAGATGCACAATAATCGATCTTCTGACGGTGGCACTCTGTAATAATCGTTTCGGCGTCGAGTGGATATAGCGATATGAATGAATGATGACAGGCTGGTATCTCGTCGTCACCTTACACAACCACGTTTCATTCTTCCTCTATCACCACCACCGCTGACCGTGATCATCTCGAGATCACTACGGACGACATTTTCATTTCTTCGGATATCGGTGAGGTGTACGTAACCCTTCGCTGTTGTAAACCAAGGCTTTCAAAATTTTGGCCGAAGTATGAATGAAGCAATGGATACCGTGTCTCCTATACCCTGTAACAGGTATAAAAGATCTCGTGGGGGGTGAGACATTTGGTCGAATAAATCATGGACTGGTTTCCACCTTTTTTAGGCTCCGAAGAAGGCGAAAATCGCCGAAACGCCAGGCGACTTACTGTAATATCTAATCTCGTGATCTGTTCACTAAAATAAAGTTGTATTCGACCTATACCGAGGTTCACTGAGAGTCGAACATGGCAACTGTTATAAAAGTTATGATGTGGGGCGGGCATTCAAAAGCGCTGGTTTTTGGAGGCCAGAAAGGTGAAATTGGCCTTGCAAAATTTTTTTCAACAAAAGCTATGTAACCTCAAAACGTAGGAAGGAGACTGTTCCTGGGCAAGTAAGCTTTTCTTAATGGAGTAATGTGACCTGATGATTTTAATAAATTTCAGTTCGAACATGGACTACTACATGAGACCAGGCTTCGTTGGTTTTTGGATACCGTAAGTCAATAACACATTCGCAAGAAGACCAAAAAAAAAAGTTTGTTATGTATAAAAGCACTTGACACGATATGCTGAGCCTTAGAAAATAGAAGAAGTAGCTAGAACGCGATTAATTGCTGTCAAAACTCAAACAGCTAATGGGAGCTAATTTGAACAGTGCCAGCCTCGACCCCCGGTGAGTCACTCGGATTGTACCTTACTCAGAGAGACCCTATCGAAGGCTCACAGTCGACCAATCACCGCGCTCGGCCACACCCAACTCTGCCTATGGCGAAAGAGAAATAGTATGAGGTGGGCGGCGCTTCTAGAGGCTTCAAGCCGAGCAACCCACTGTGAGGTAATATCCGTGCCGCGGGTAGAATTCCTCTTAAGATTACTGTACTGTATTTCGGCTTAGAACGCGAGAATAGACATGTTCAGTGGGTACAGTCCACGCCGCCTTGGACGTGAATTCACACTGGCCGAATGTTATTCACAGCAAGGGATAATGTCACGAGGAGGTGAGTTCTGGGTTCCTTCGAATCACCCTTTACCTTTGAAGCCTCAGTTATCGAATTTAATTCAATTTATTCGCTTTTATTCATAACCACTTTTTTGAGAGCCCTCTATTCAATCGTACTCATGCTGTCCATTGCCGGATTTTCACCTGGAGAGTGCAAGTTTTGGCTCGCGATCACCTTTCTTTCCTCAACAAAACACTCCTGCTGAATATTTTGCTGCCTATCGGTTAGTGTTCAGAACTTTGAGGTGTTTGACGCTTAATAGTATCTGACGTGTACGGAATACATTTTTTTTTCAGTCAAGCACCCATTCATTTCCAATTTCCTCAAAAGCCATCCTCAACGTTGATTCGATGCGAGTGGATGAATGAAGTGAAGCTTCGCCCTTCATCGAAAATAAGGAATGTGCTCTATACAGTTTTCTTTCAGACTGGTAAAGATTGTGGGATGATGTTTGCTACTTCATCCCAAGTTGCCGCTCATGTTTCTCAACATCACATCGGTTTTATTGAAACGTCAGCTCACGTCTGTTTATGGAGGAATTGTGATCGAGTTGGAAAGCCTTTCAAGGTACGTGTCTATCTATATTGAGTGAATGATGAGTACTATGACATAGAAGACATTATAGGCTAAGTACAAGTTGGTCAATCATATTCGTGTTCATACTGGAGAAAAGCCATTTCGTTGTGAACAGTGCAATCGAGAATTCGCTAGAAGTGAGAATCTCAAAATCCATGTAAGGACTCATACAAGTTAGTGACAAATATTTTGGGTTACACAACAATTTGAATAGTTAATTTTTCTCTATGTATAACCGTCAGAAAGAAGAACTACATATACGTTCCTCACATTGGTGTTTGGGAAACGACATCGAACTTGCACCTTTTCTTCATGGACTTGTTCGAATCGAAAGTTCCGTACCTGTTCATATACAGTAGCGTTCAAAAGTATTTGGCCAAAAGCTTTCACGCTTTTTCGTTCATGACTTTTTTTTCTTAGTGGAGCAAATCGCGCGAAATTTCGATATGTTTAACTAAAGCATATTTCACCTATCCAACACTACTTGACTGCGAAGCATCAATATCCGCATAAATAAGAGCAATACTTGTTGTGGTAGTAGATTTCGCCAAAAGCAAAGTTATTGACGTCTACAGTTATTCGCACCTTATGTGCGCCATTCTTCTTACCGTGTTCGGCATCAGCGCTCGTACACTTCAGACTTCGCAAAAAGGAAACAAGTTCCAGAAGGAACATCATCTGAAAATCCAGTTGATTTTGAGTCCAAGCTCTTTGGGATATGTGGAACACGATCAGATTTCAGGTTAATAGTGGTAAATATTCACAATACCCATGCCATACATATTGAAATTTCGCATGGTTAGACCCAGTAGGGAAGAAGTTACGACTGAAAAGTATGACCGATGAAGCATTTCGCCAAATACTTTTGAGCCCTACTGTATGTGTCGCGAATTGATTCTTCTTCCCCTTTGCGTTATTTATGGTCATCTATTGTTATACAAATCTCGCTGTGGCTGGCCTCTATAGAGAAAGGTAAAACAGGCATTGATTTATTGCGCACGTACGTCTCTGTAGGATAAGAGGGCAGTGTGGCGGCTGATAATAAATTCATAAGTGCGTACGTCAACTAACCTTAACAGCCAAATCTAGCCATCGTACGCCACCCTCTGGAACCACCCAGTCAAGTCTTCGTAGAAAAGATATTCGCTCGCTTCGCAATATGGCGTCTAACATCTGGGTTTGGTTGCTCACGTGCTGCACTTTAATGAATCCTATTTGATCCTCTGCTCTCCCTAGACTACACCTGTCTAATAGTCGGCAGAAAAGGTGTGATAAATCGCCGATTGGAAAATGTGAAATAGGACGTTATTCTTTGTATTGCGAGCTCGCCAAAGACGATGTGTGCATGTGTTTCGTGCCTTAATTTTCATATGAAAAGATTCGTTTCTCATTCAAATCCTCCCTCTCTGTTCCCGATACCGCGCTTCACCATCTGCTGGCAACGAGTGATCCAGATTTCTCATCATTTTTCATTGGCTCAACTATGCTAATGCCTTGTTTGTGAGACTCCATTACCCTGATGGTCGTTCCATTTAGTGGTAAACTAGTCTATGATTTTGAATTCCGAAAAAGTAATGTTTCAAGAAAAAGCTCTTCAGGCAGTTCTTCTTACTACGAGTGTGTAATTACAGTAGATAGGCTACAAAAGTGGGTCCAATAGCACCATAGTGAGGAACGCTGAGAATGCAGCAAAGTGCCGGTGGAGCCTATCTAAAAGAAGAAAACCATGTCCTGTCCATCTGTTGCTGACCACGTAACCAAATTATAGAACTCGTTTAATTTTAGAAGAGAAGCCTTTTCCGTGTCCACATGCCGGTTGTGACAAAACGTTCGCTAATTCCTCGGACCGAAAAAAGCACATGCACGTGCATACATCGGAAAAACCTTACGAATGCAAGGTAATCGCCTTAAAAGTCGTTTATGAAAAAAGAATCTCATTTGCTTCTCACGCATTTAAACTATTTTTTGCAGATGAAAGGGTGTAAGAAAGTCTACAGCCATCCCAGTTCATTGAGGAAGCATATAAAGGTATATTTAGAGGTTTCGAAATATATTCAACAGATCTAAATCTTTCTGTTCACTAACACCTGTCTTCTTTCGCACCTCACTTACGTTTCTCATGCGCTCAAACTTGCGATTAAATCCGCTCAATCCGACGACAGGTTATTGGCATTTGACGGCTTAGCGCATTTCGCGCACATCGATAAATGAGTGCCCACGATCGCGGAGTTCACTGACCCCAGTTCCAGTAGGTCACTCACTCACCATCTTACTGCGATCAGCTAAACGGATCTGAGACTGTCGGAATCAAGTTTCTGGTCAACGGTTTGAATAAAGGAGCTGCGTGTGTTGAATCGCATTCATGTATCATCCCATGAAAATGTTGGAGGACGAAGATTTTCGGAAAGACAGCCAGAATATAGACAGTCGTTCAGGTACACGAAAAAAACTGTCTGACACCAGAGTTGGACGAAAGTAGCGACTCAGGTCATGCTAGTATTGAAACGCCGGTTGATCCATTTATGAGCATGAAACCTGATGTAAGTGAGGTAAGCAGTGACAATCAACGAATCTGTTAGTCTAAAGTTGAAAGAGTTCATGGAGAGAGTTGTAATCATAGTCAGCACAAGTTTAAACCCTCTAAACCCCCGTTCAGATGCCGCTACAGTTTTCGTCAAACACGCCGCTGATTCGTCAGCCAGTCGCCTACGGTCCACCCCCTGCCTACGCCCATCATCATCCGGCAACTATGTTTCCAACCGAACTTTATCATCAATTTCAATAAGATAGAAAAAGGGGCATCCGTCAAAACAGGATCGAGGGATCGATTGTTCATCTATGAGAACAAAGCAGGCTTTTTGGGAGTTTTTGACACAATCTTTCGAATAAGAGACGTATTACAGAGTAAAAACCTTATAAGTTTGATCCAGTGTTGTTCAAATGTTAATTTACGAGTTAGGAACTTTACTTGTTATGCTATATGTGATATTATTACATGTTCCGTCTTATACAATATGTATTTGATTGTATGTTGCATTTGCTCACCGGATAATGCCTCGGGGTTCTTGGGTTTACCTCAGACGTCCGCCACACAGCCTAGCTCATTATATTTTGGGTGCTAAATTGCCTTTGTATGTAGCGGAAACGAATTCTTATCGATTCAGCTGCTGAGGCTAAACTACTGGGTTGCTTCGAAGTCTTGACAGTCGAGGGGACTGATGGAGAGGCTGATCGCCCTCGTAGTCCTCTGCTCTTAGCAAAGTCACCTGAAAATTCCAAATCAGACAGGATTTTCTATGTATCATACGAAATTGTTCATACATACAGTACTCGCAATGAATGTTTCACTTGAAATAAATCTTAATGAATTGAAAACTACTTTGTACTATGTGTATGATTGTAGCCAAATACCACCAACAGATGGCTTGTAATATTTGCCAGCGAGTTCAAACGTCGGCTTGTAATATTTGCCGACTCATCTGAGTTCTTTGTTGCGTAGGCACGTGACGTCATTCACTAACAACTTGTAATTGGAAGACAGTAACAAACGCAGTTGCGCGGCGGCACGCAAAGTTCCTATTGTTAAATTGTACCCATAAAGGGTGATCCTCAAGCATCGCACAGATGATGACTTGGAAAATACTATCGGAACAAATCTCCTAATATACTTCTAACTTCTAACTTCCTTTTGATCGTGTTTTCATTTGACGGGTGGAATCTGTCGGTATTCCCGTGCTTTGTTGCTCTTCTTGAGCCCTTTTTATCATTGTTCTCTTCAGGATGTGAAACGTCTTGGGGGCTGATTAGGTTAATGGGCCTTGTGAGGATCTCCTCGGCATGGGCACAGTTTAACTGCTCGGTAGAATTGATCTGATGAACCAATAGTTTGTCCAAACTTCCAGCTGTCCACGTTAGAGCTAGTTACCGTGAACGAGAAGTAATTGGTGAGAACAATCATACTAGTCTCGCATTCTTCTCAAGTATTTCGAATACCATCTGTTCCAAAAGGAAGTGAGCACACCATTTGTAGTTTTCTATAGTTCCATAAGATTCTCGTGGACATTGGAGCAAGGTAAAGTCCTCAATATGTTTAAACCATGGCGACGCAACTGAAGCTGTTGTTCCTAGAAAGTTAATTGACCTGAGCGAAAATTGAGATCAGTCATCGGCAACATAAGTAGGGGACGTGAACTGCATATCGCTGTGCATTCTACGGCAAGTGTTTTGAAGGTTTCTATGTCAAACACTTTTCCTTCAATAACACTTTAGGACTTTGCTCCGAAAATACCAACCACTATCTCGTATACTTCTTCTTGCTTAGGTCGGCCGCAATAAACTTCAATCGAATTTCTTGATTACCGCAGTACTCGATGACATTTTCCTTTGGCATTGTCGATCTGAACATGTTTGATTGTATTCATTCATCGCCTCAAAGACTTTATCGTTATCGCATACTACCCAATTAAGAAATGTATTGGTTGCTATCAAACTCGAAGAACATGAAGTAGGATCTCAGCAGACATGCTTGTTACGATCTCCGTAAAGATGGCTCTAGTATTCAAGCAGAATATGAGAATTATCCATGATTTCAAAATTTCAATATGATCTTCTCTGTAATTGAAAAGTCGTATGTAATCCATATCGCATGGTCGAAACGAATACTGAGGTTTTGTTACTTTTCCTTGAAAATGTGCAGGAAAGTAGGGTGACACAATGGATTTGTCCCGGTTTTCAGGCATGCATAGCAGCTGTTGTGTAGTTTCTCCACCGTAAGGCGACCTTCTGGGATACAAACTCTGTGTCGCAGTTAGTTGCGACATTGTGTCTACGCGGCTCATGCTTGTCATGTCAAATGGGAGATTCGCTTCGCTGTAGTGCTTTCGGTGTATTTAAGCGCTCCTAGATCACCCCTGGGCGCTTTTTGCTAGGATGTAGGATAAAGTGGTAGGTTAAGAGAACGTATTGCTGAAACACCAAGAACATTTTGGTGCATCGTGCCAAATACTGTTCTTCGTTACGAAAAGAAAGACCTGAACCAGTCGATCAGGATATCTGATCCATATGGCCCACTGAGGTCTCCATCGGAAAGGAACGATAGAACATATCCTATATGGAAAACTCATTTTGAACAGCGTGCTCACGCTCAAATCGCTCGCAGAATCTTTTAAAGACTACACGAAATTGCTGGTGCCTGCGAACAATACGAAAAAACGCTGCAGGCCGTTGTCTCATAAAAGGTAATATTCCGCAGGTTCTGCTAAGAATGATTTGCATTCCTTAGTCGTAAAAACCACATTTCGGGCGACACCACCAAAAACAAGGATGACAAGAAAAACGTTATGCAGAGGTTGGAGAAAATGATGAAGAGATCAAATCCACTGCAGTGTTGAATGAAGCGACGAATTCTCATGCTGAATACCAGACTCACTGAAGCGGGCGGCAATGATTAAGGACGTGCGCAAGACCATGGAAAGTTCTTCCAATCACAAGGCTCCCTAGGAAGCAGTCGCGCACTGTCAGTATAGATCAACAATACAGCGACTGCCCCAGATTTAACCTAAACAAGGCAACTGTCAGGCATGATTCCTGGTCCAAGAATGACCCTCCCAGAATTTTGCGAAAACGAACAAGTGAGTTCGAGTGACATGAGGAACATTAGTTCACAACAATCGAGCGGCGTTAACGGTGATTGAAAAGTTACTGTTGTCGATGGAAAGTCATCGTAGAAAATGAGACAGAACAATGAAGGGAATAGAACTGCTACCCCCAAAACTATCAGTGGATGGCAGAAACTATACAGAAGATTTCTCCGCTGATCCTTTATTCGTCGACAGTCCGGTACAATGTCCAGTACAATGGAGCGTTCCGACGAGATTTACCTCCTGCCCCTTCGACAGGGACAGAGGCTTTTATACATCCAGAATTCTAGTTATCACAACATTCCTAGGTGAATACAATTAGATAACTGTATTGAACATAAACATTTGCGCTTAAGAGAATTCAAACGAGTGACTCATCAACAGATAACTATTAGCATACATTCAAGTATAATTAGGAATAGAGAAAGGAATAGAGGATTGGGAAATTCTCTATAGAAAGAATCATGAAAAATTTGGGGATAAACCAGCCTATAGTTCAAAGGTTACGAGGTTTTCCATCGGCAAATAGAAGAGCCGAAAGGATTGAAGTGACGTGCGATAAAACACATGTACTGTTGAATGAAATGCTATCAGCCGGACAAGATATTCGAGCCACAAAGGGCGCCTTATGCATCGTAGCAATCTTACCTCTTTGAGCACACGATTCTACTGCTCGTTCTCCAGTAGCGAACGGTCTGAAGAGTTTTCTAAAGCTGTGCCTCACAATTACATCGCATACTTTCGAAATTGTCAAGCAATGGTCGCCGTTTCGCGTACGATCGGAAAGTGATAACTGAATGAATCACGATTTCTTGAAAAATTTTCCTAGCCGTAGCTTAATGGTCAACGTAGTAACTGAATTTCTTGAAAGTTTTCAGCATCACGGCAGAAGGCAACAACATTACTCTGCTGTACTCAAGCTATGAGAAAACCGTCGATTCAATCTTCCTTGCCAACGATGCTGCAAACGTGGATGTCGTCGACGTAGCCATTTACATCGAGCAGTTACTCAGGGCTATTCCAACCAATCGATAGGCGTTGTTTACGACCTAGCTTCTATTCTAGCCTGCGCAGAAACGTTCTCATGCTCCGATGAAATGTACTGATTACAGGCTTCCTCGTTAGCTTCGTATAAAACGCGTGGTCAGGCGCCAACTAGAAACTCGCCGTCGCAATCGCCGCTCAACCTATGGTCATCAACGGCGGATTCGCCTACCATCTGACATGCCGTCGCCGTCGTCAGCACGCTTTATGGAAATCGTCCTGTTAACTTTGATTCCTAATAAACCGTTGTATTAGATGGTGTCGCTATAGCTTATCGGAGAATGTGCTAAGAATCAAACTGGCAGCAGAGAGCCTTCCATCCGACAGACGGAAGGACGGTGAATTCAATTTTTTGATTTGATTTTTCTTCTTTTCTGTGTTTGCTTTCCTATCCTCTATAATGTAGCTGCTTTCACTTCCTTTCTTCTTTTTCCTCGTCCAAGGGTTTTTTCCTTAGCTCCATCACGGTAAGCCCCGAAAGGTTGCCTTTAGACACGTTAGTAGGAGAATGATACAGCATTCCCGTAAGGGCTCTTTGCAGCATTGACGGGATCCTAGTCTCTCCTTCAGCATAGTAAACTTTTATAATGATCAGAGCTGGAAATATTTCGTTTTATATTCTTTTCACTCTAGTTCTATCAGACGTTTTTTTCTTCACAAATCACTGTATTCTTCGCCCTATGCCAGGGCTTTCAGTAGAAGTTTTTTCAAATCACCCTCCGTGATTGGCTTTTCCCTCCCTTTCTTCTTTTTTCGTTAGTTTCTGGCTGTATTTCATATTTTCTCTTCTCTTTATTCTTTATTTTCTCGTTTTTTTGCCGCGGGTCGAGCCCACCCGCCACGGTTGTTATCGTGATTGATGTGTTTAGTTCTGTTAATGTGACCGCCCCATGTCAGTTTCAAGTTGTATAAAAGTAGGTGATCACCAGAACAGAAGGTTGTTTTCAAGTTCAAGGGAGGCATGAGTTGAGAAGTTGAGAAGTTCCCCAGGTTGAGGTTCTTTCAAGCAATATGTTCATGTGCACACAAGAGGTGTTGGACACCTTATAGCTCCAACCAATGCGTTAGTGTGGTTTTCCCGGGTAGAGACGCTGTAGGTATT